CAAAGCTGAGGAAGTACCATAATATACACAGAAGAAACACGTACCGCGTTTTACAACAGTGCAATACAACAAGAAATAACGTTTCACAGAATGGGGAGTGCGTTAAGCAAGGAAATGTTCAAATCACCACATCGTATTTGATCAAATTTCTCATAACCATGCACCTGAAAGAAAAAAGTACGTCTTACAGCTCCATTTACAACATGCATTGCTACTAAGCATAGGCATCACACATCCTTCAGGGCATTATACCTCTCCTCATCAAAATTTGCATTTTTGACTATCTCCTCAATTTTTTTTCTGTTTAAGCCTTCCTCTTTCATGTACTTTTTCTTTACCTGCTTCCTACTCTTTTTCACAAAGAGCTTGCTGATCAAAGTGAAATCAAGGCCACAGAGTTCTAATGCCTTGTAGAACAGTTGTGTCTCCTTTTGTGACCAGCGTGTTGTTTGTCTCTTTGGTTGTGGTGGAAGCGACTTTTCCTTCTTCTTGCGGAAGTTCTTGTTCTGGAGGTAGTGAATGAGCTTGTTGTCCATATAGGGGCACAAATCGCAACTTTTTGATCTTTGAACGAACGCATGCAGCGGTACAAGAAAATTATTGGATGTGTGATGCTGAGAAAACGAAAAATGATGATGATACTGTTGTATAAACTAATACTTTGTATTATTTTCTAATTTTGACTAAAAAATGGGGCCGTCAATGTTAAATCATTTATTGGTACATAATATTACGTATTTAGATTAACTATTGAATCAATTGCTAAAGAACCAATCATTTTTTATGAAAAAAATGATGATCAATCATCATATCTTAACTCGAATCGATCTGAATACGGTTACGTTTTATTTAAATATAAGCCCATATCGTATATGTACAATTTATCCTATCAAAATTGCTAAGTTAAAACGATTGGCCATCACGATTTATTCAATATCACATATTAAGAATATTTTATGATTTTTTTCGTCTTCTATTCCATGTTCAAAGAAATAATCAGTATACCACGAATTATGCTATAACAATTGCAATTTGCACAAAGTTGTGATTAAATAGGTTAGAACGATATAATTCATCTTATATACTGAGTCGATGTTATAATATAATTATAATGACAATCATTGTAGTTCAATTTACCTCAGATAATCTTTTAAACAATTTTTTAGAGCTATTTTTCATTCTGAATGCAATGTCCTTGGGTTAAAAAGAGCGCAAGAAAACCAATAACTCGCATATGCAAAAGGTTATGCCGGTAAAAACCTGTCATTTTAGAAATGTATTTTAATACGCATATTTACCCAAACATGGCTAAATATAAATTACATGGTTCTATAACACTTAAAATGACTTGTTCAGCGTTTATTTCAAAAAGATATCTATCACTTGGGCATTTCCAACGATTTGATGCAAAAAACTGATGGCTCTCGCACCATTTCCTATAGTGTTATAATATCTACACATTCTATATGCACAAATCAAGTATTTATAGTATAATAAACTCATGAGCAACTCATATTTTGCATCCCTTGACTACAAGCTCCATTTAGAGACTTATTAAACCCTTTCTTAGGAACCGTTGGGAGGTTAGCCAGAAACTTTGGTACTCGAATATAGGGTATAACATGTACATATTAACTAAACATGCTTCTTAATGATGCCAAAACTTATTAAATATGGTCACTTAAAATAAGCAAATGTTAACAGAGACTTTCCGATAAGTGTAATTCTTACAATACCCTAGCAGTAGGATTACCCAACATTGCCATAATGAATCATCCAAAACGGACGTAGCGGCACGGCGCAAAGAACTTTATCTCTGAAGACAAGAAGAAAAAAGAGCAATAAAAGCTTCAGGTAATTAAAACATTAATGTTGTTCTTACAGGTACTTCTCGTTCAACTTCATTGGCAAATTATGATAGATGAGATGATATTCTGGTACACCTTGCAGTACGGTATCTTTTTTTTAAACCACTTCCGATTGCAGTCCGCTAAATTCATATTGATTTATATAAAAAATTTTACCTCTGCTAAACCTGGGCAAACACCATTTATATTCATTCAATCTGCATTCACGCCATTATTTTGACATTCTATGTTGAATCAACCCCACCTATTGTGTTAATCTTGTACGCAATGAGTGTTCCATGCACCAGAACAATTCATTTCCCAACCAAAAATATTCGTCGATAAAAATAGTCCGTGACTAAAAATTAATCTTGCGCGATTGTAAGCGATTCAACAGTAGATAATTAGCAATCTGGCACCATAATTATATTCTCAATTGTTCGATTCTAGCGGTATATTCCTTTTTCGAATTGTAGCTCATTTCGACTCACCTTCTTTTTACAGAAGTTCTACCAAGATCAAGCTTTATAGGAAAGCGAAGAGGATAGATCAAATATAATTATAAAAAAACTTGCGCATTTTCAGCCAAAGATTTTCGTATGGCGCATTGCCTAAAGTGTTCGATTATATTTTTCCTATTGTTCAAAATATTTATCAAATTCCAACTATATATCTTTGCTGGGTTATTTACAAAAGTTTCCGGTGTGAATTGCTATCACTTAACATTTTCAGCGCTTTTGGACGGAAACATTTACAGAAAATGAAAAAATAGTTCCTAAAACGATATGGCAATCGCGATTTAGAAATACTGTTTTTTCGATAAGGAAAATGTTTTGAAGATCATATAATTTATTCAGGGAAATTGCATGACGTAATTAGACGAAATAGATGCCACAATAGATAAAAAAGTACCACCAAAAACGAAAATTTCATTTAGAGGATCGCCTCGATTTCTTTCTACCACAGGAGTGAAGATCCTTACATCATAGTTGCATCTCAAATATTATGTCATATTTAAAGTTGATAAGAGTTTTTAACATTCAGCTGAAATAACCTGTCCAACGTCGTATACTATCTAAAAATTGGAAAAAATTATGAACCTGACCTATACAAATGATGAAAACACTAGCAGAGTGTCAAAGCGATGCTATTGAATTGTTAATTCTGTAGTAATCATTTTCATTGCCGTTTTCCAACATGTTTTATAGGATTTTTATAAATTCTTGAGGCCAAACTTGGAAACCCTCATTCTATGTTCCAAAATAACAATACGTTGGCCTGTAACCTGGTTAATAATTGTTCCAGCCGGGCAGGACCGCTCCCGTAATGCGACATTCTTAAACAATCTTGCATAAGCTGATCCACAAATAACAGCTGAAATGCATTGTTTGCTTTTGTGTACATGTCAATGGTTAATGTATTGCTTTACTGTATGATATTTCCGGTGCTTGTTTTGGGTTAGAAGTTTTATCATTTAGTTGGAGTATTTCTTTACCAAACATGTACTTCATATGATTTAATGGTGTGACTTGCGATCAGTTAGAATAGATTTCTAACAATTAATTTAATCAACTATTATCACTAACACTGCATTTTATCATACTTTTGAGGGTTGTTTTGTTAAAGAACGCCTTGTTGTACGTTAAGAGCACGGATGTGTTACATCTTTCCATCAAATATACGTTCATAGAAGCAAACAGCCTTTTTCTAGCAATTTCCATAATATTACAATTATTCGTGAAACTGTACACTTTTGCAAGTATTTCTTCAATTGGTCACCGAATGATGGTAGAAGAAACGACTAAATCATAAAAATAAAAACTCGGCCAAAATTATCAATTTTTTCGCCATAATACGTAAATACTAATAATTAATCAAAATAGGAGGATAGTTTTTGGCATGAAGTGTAACACCATGTTACCATTGGATTTAACACAGCAAACAAAATTTATTCGAATGCTACTCTGCTGTTAAGGATAAATTCAGGATTAAATTGTTAAACCTAATTTCGAATAAAAGACTTTTAATATACAGTAGCAGTACCTGCAAGAATTTATCGAGCATTTTATTCCCGGTTATACAAATAAAATAACACGGTGGTGTCTCAATGACTTTGCTTTGTTATTGTTGTAATGATATCAAAGCTGTTGTCCAAAAAATTGTTTATTAATTAATTTAACAGCATTAGTTTTAATCATGGTTTTATTCTAGCCGGAGATGAACATTAAATCATCAATTTGTTTGCATCCTAGTAGCACACCGAAACAAAACATGTGATATTCAGCTGGTCATTCAAGCTCGTTGGTTCTTTGCGATCACATTTATATATTTTTATCGCATTTCTATGTGCTAATGTTTGTGCTTTGGAGCTGTTCCACTTTTATTTTGCAGTCAAGAGAAGTCGGTTCAGAAATGTTAGAAGAGCTGTGATCATGTTCATACGCCCTGATTGATAGTATTACCCATTTTATAAAATACTAAATTGACCTTTTTGGTGTTCTTTCCATTCTGCAATGAAAGTTAGAAACTCGAGTTAAGCCAAATGAGAAGTACTGTCATGTATTTGCTGGTTTGCAATTAATACAAATTGCCTAAGTGCAGGTCTAATTTGAAGAAATCTCAAAAAACCGAAACAAGTTGCTAGGGCTGCAGAACACACCGTATTGATTTTGCGGTCACGACTTGGTATCTAAGAAGGAGTGTCTGCGAAATTGTCACATTTATAGTATTTATACTCCGATACCATGTGTTGAAGTTAAGAAGGAGATGTACAAATCACCTTGGTTCTGCTCATTTTTCCCTTTATGTACCATTATAAATTAAGAACTGATATTTAGACATTCAGATGCAACCTGCTGTTCCATATGTATTCACCGTCAACAATTCGCATCATATGTCCTTTGAAGCTGTTTTCCTCTCAATATGTACAGGCTAAATTATTTTAAATCAATACCATCCAACTCTCGGAATATGTTGGTCGTAATTGACACAACATTATCAGCATCAAATTGTTTTTACCGCACTGTCTTTCTTTTATTTTCCCGAATTAGTTCAAATTAAATAATTAAGGTAAATGAAAGATAAATGAAAATTTAAAGACTTTAAAGTATTTTATTATTTGTGTATCTATTCGGAACTTGCCGCCAAGCATTGGCATATCAGAAAGCGAGTGCATGCCACCACTGCATTCAGTACAACGCGTCGATATTGGTCGCTATATTTTGATTGCTCATTAAAAAATCATTTTGCACATATTAAATCGCAAAACACTCAGCTTTCGACTTTCCACGTGCACATGATCGCAGGCAGTTTACATCTTCTAAAGCATTCTTCTACTGCTTTAAATCCAATTATACGCTTTACGACATGCATGCCTTATAGGTATTCGATTCTTCAATTACAAAGCATGACCATCCACCATCCAAACTCTTTTTCGCTCACTATAAAATCGTAATCGACATTGTTGCAGAAGTGGCACTCTAATGCACTTCTCTCTTCTATTCTCATCCACGATTCGACCCTACACACCTTATCGTTCCATATTTTTTTAGCGATACAACATCCGATAAAAAAGAAATTCATAAAATTGTTGTACATCCCCGTGTGGTATGAGTGCCTTCTTATGTAAATTGTTGCAATTACCAGCACAAATGGCGTGAACTGAAAAAATATCTGGGGCGGTGATGTGAATAGCTTTGTGAGGATGCGGTGCTGGAGCGAGGTATTTGTCAATGTGAAGAAGGTATATGGCAAGTTCAGCTTGGTTGATGAGTTCTTAAATGCACTGTTGGTGACGTTAAACGGTATATAGCTCTTGTCGTGGCTCCTAACATATCCCGGACAGTTACTTATCCTTGGTACCCTATAAACACCTTCATTCCTGCCATAACAGCCACTTTTCTTGGTTTTGCTGCGCATTTCATAATTATTAGATGCAAAGAAGCCGGCCATAGCGTGAAAGTTACTGCCGTGTTCATTCTCGCCATAAACCCTGTTACTGCTGCATTCCCTATGGTAGTATCCCATGTATCTGCTGTCGCCGTACCTTTCGCCCATTTTTATAAAGCTCTTCCTCCTCATCACTTCGCTTTCCTTTCTCATCATTTATATTTTATCACTTCTAAAATATTATCTAGATAAGGAAAAAGTCATTGGTTATTCATCTTTGATGATTTTTCAAATTTAGTATTGTTAGTGTTGTATCATTTGATGTATCATTAAGGAATGTTTTAAATACTAATATGGCAAATGACAGAATTTATCTCCTTTAATAAGCGACATATTTATTACACCATGTTATAAATAGAAACGTTACAAAAATATGAAATTATGTCGCTAATGAATGCGTGTTATCGAGTGATGTACGCTTTACTTCCGGAAAATTTCTTTCAATTGTAATTCATAACCCTCTTTTTCTGCTTAAATTTTTCCTTTTCCCATATAATTGACGCTAACAAATGATTTTTATTTGATTGAACAAAGTGACGTGCCGGTGTCTGAAAGGGGAATGAATAGCGCAATATGCAATTGTACGCTATCATTTTCGACTTGATAGCACCACTCAAACATTTTAACAGCCACACAAATACCCGTGAATGGAGCTCATCAAGCAAATACCAATTAACTAAATTCATTTTCATTCATTATTTATTATTGGTAATATTGTGATTGTCATACGTTCTTGACCATTACTTAAAACGATTGATGACGGACGCGAGCGTAAAATTAAATTGAAAACCATTTTGTTGTGATGGTTTATAGATTGGTGAAACATTGCGTAAAATAAATAAAAAATGATGTGATTGGTTCTGTAATGCTGATTATCCGTCAATTACTGTGGCATGTTATATTATTTGTGTTTTTGGGCGTGTTCTAGACTACGCACTTGTTATGTCCCTTTTAGGTGCTTCGTTTGTTTGGACTAGTACCGCTTCGCCAAACTGTACATCGTTAGAATTGTACCAATTTATTTCGAACAACTGATGAAAATTAGTGGTGATGGAGAAATATTAAAAGGCACGTCATATTTTACTATTTGGTCAACCTGCCATTTGTTATAAGTGCAAAAAAGGTGGTTATTGCCGGTAAACTCAAACTGAAATATTGCACAACCAAAGCATGGCACATTCCAAGACTTTCTGCGTTGGCAGCGTTGGCAAATAGCTATCTTGACACGTTGATTTGTGTATGAACAGCATATTATTGTGAACGAGGTTTGTAAAGTTATTGAAGGTATATAACCTAGTAAACAGCTTCGATGGCTGTGTAAAACGTAAATACATCAAACAAAATCTAACCACTTCCAAAGAAACATTCTCTGCCATTCTACAGATAACTTAACTATACGTAGACCTGCAGAATATTTTATTGGTCACAAATATTACTTTTAAGGACAAGAGTAATTTATTCTCTATAAGGGTATTACGTAGAGAAATTATTTTTAATAAATCGATGAAATTGCGTTTTCTTTGGCCATACACAGTGTCATACATTAAGATATTTGTTCAAATGAAATTATACGTAACCGTACTAGTTGTTTACACGTAATTGGAAGGGAACATATCACTTACCAATCAAATACGTTTCGTTTCAAAATTCTGATACGTTTTGCGTTAGGTTTGTATTGCGTTAAAGCAGCGCGTTTCATTATTAAGGTTGATGGTGTGGCACTAAGTTCGTGCCTGATTGTCACAGATGTTACCTTTGTTTCATTGCTATCGCAAGTTGCGTCTGCTCAATAAACCGCCGCAAATATTTTTCTAAAAATTTATTTCGTTAAGGAAACATTACTAAAAGCGAACTATACATACAAAGTTTTTAAGAGAACAAGGATGAGTTAGAACCTGTCAACACAGCAGAACTAACCACGTTGTCCTCTGTGAAGTAACTATTGCAATTTATTACATAGTACGGTAGAATGCACTTCGAGTCCTGCAAATATTGATAGCCCTTGTCTCAGGTTATAGGAAGGTGCTGCTGAGTTTTGCAGCAATAGGTGGTTATATGTGATGGTACATCATTTTGAGCACTACTTACAATTTGATGAGTTTATACCATCATTTAACACCCATATGGTAATACTGTATGCTGAAAAGAGAGCTCGATTAAAAATATCAAATTAAAAATAGCTCAAATATTGTTTTTGAACTGCAACTTAGCAGTGCAAATAACTCGGTGTAGAACAAAATTGTAAATTTTATACTAAGTAACCCTCAAACCACCATTTATGTATTTAAGATCATGGTAATCACTCAGTAGGTAGTTGAATAACAATAATTACAAATATGCTATGAAAAGCATTATAACAATACGTTTTATCACCAGAGAACTGAACAGTCGGGGAACCTAGTGCACATTACTATCGCAAAAGAAGGTCGTGCTGCAATCGCTGCGGTGATTTTAACATGCAGAGCATGATTTAGGTAACATTCCTTCCAAGAGGTCTATCAGTCTGAAAGCACCTTTGGTCTTTTCAGTTGTACCGTTATCAGCAAGAACTGCTTATTGAGCTCTGATTTATCGCTGTTCGTGTTCAAAAATTGTTTTGTTTGATTCTAAGACAAAGAAGTAATCGACTTAAAATATTATAACGGTTATGGCTGCGTTTATCTGTCACAATATTACAATTCATGTCGATTTTGAACAAAATACCTTTATAAACCGCAACTTAAAACGCTTGGTCGTTTATATGGCTTTCCGATTCGATTTATATCACTAAATACGTTTAGGCCCGCACTGTTCAGAAATGGAAAAAAATGTGTTAATTATGAGGCACGCTGTTCTAGAAGAAAGTGAAAAGACCCGAAAAATATGTTCGTATTGCAGTGGTCTGATGTCCAGGATCGGTCAATTAAACAGTGGACTAAATGAGATTTGTTATAATCAATTCAGTGATGAACAACGGAGATACCGCGTTTTTTGGGACTAAGTTATGAACTGAACAATTGGTTGTCACGTAGGGTGGAGGAGGTTAAAGATGAAATATGAGAAAGCTATTTTTTATGGATGTTTTGTTGAACGCATTTAACGGAGCTACATGGCCTCTTTGTGTTATAAGTGCCTATTTGATGTGTTGAAAAGCGGCAACACCAATCGGCAGCAACAGATGTTGAATTGCAAAATAAATAGGAATACCGTGTCATTTACACATCAGAAACTGGCTTGGAACGAGGAATATTAGCAACTAACAGTAATTGGTGTTTCCTTAGAAAGGTCCTATGAGCTGTCTTGCAAGTCAAGGAGGAGATTGTAGGAAATAAACGTACATTAGCCCCAAGGGCAAAAGAATTGTCTGGAATAGGCCAAAAAAAGCATAATTGATGGAACCGGTGCGCAAAAAAGTGTTAAATAAAGTTGCTAGAGACGAAGCTATTTTGATACTTCATTATAAACCGTGGTGGATACTTTATGTGGTGGTGTATCACCTTAAAGATTCGATTAGCACTGTAAATTTTTTAATATCCGTTCATTTGCACAATCATTTACCTCCATTGTTCCGCCAAAGTATTCATTCTATTTCTTTCTGGGATTTGCTCATTTTCTACGGTGCATTTACCATCTAAAATTAATCACGCTATTTCCGTTTATAGAACAGATCAGAATAAAGTTTGGTTGTAAATCAAGAATAAAATCTTCTTTCTCACAAGTTTTCATTTATATATGTTTCTAGCCATTCTTTATACTGTGCATTTTTCACCAGAAGTAAAAAGTAAGTTGTTCAAAAAAGTTGTGCCATCATACACAGTTTATAAAATGAAATAGGACTCGTCTCAGAGGAAACAAATCAAACAATGGCATCAACCTTGTATTTCGTACCATAACAAATGATAATTTATTCTTATTGAACCAACTAACCAGCTCTCATTTTGTCTTTCTATTTATACTGAAAGTTGGTAAGATAATAAGAAAATACGTGCATTAGGAATTTGGCCCATGTGTCAGGAGACCGTGGCCACAGCCAATCCCTACTGACTAGAAAGGTGTTTGTTCAGTTGATGCGATGTGATAAATAAATGTATTTTACATGGAAAACGAAAGTTTCGAGTGCAAGTACGGCATTTTCATAGATTGCCAACTTTGATGAAAAGATTCTTGCTATTATTAAAAATAGACTTTAAAGTTTGACAACAGGACTGATATTAACATATCCATGGTTAATAACTCGTATTCAAATTTTTACCTCTTATTCTACACCAAGCACTTTCCTCAAACAACGATAATAAATTCGCAAATTTCCGCTACATGCATCCAATTCTACGTATTAATCGAAATATAAGTTACCTTGATAAATGTACGATGTTTTCCTGCGGAGAACATTCTCAAAGCATATATTCAGATCAAACAACAAGGTGTGGATTAAAATCGGAGTGGATTTGAGACGATACTGGATCTATTTGTAACTTTCAGCACTACCATGGAATTGGCGGCAGTTTAAAAAAAGTTTTACATTTTTAGAATAAAAATGAAGACTATGGCACAGAGTACACCGGAATAAATACCACAAAAAGCACCGCAATAGTTAATAATTTGCGGAAGATAACGTTCGAATTTGTTGTACATACGAAGTGCGGAGGTTTTACAGGAAATCGGGTATTGCAAATTTGAAAGGTAAACCTGCTTTTGATGCGGAGATGGGGTGCTATCTCGTCAACAGAAGGACAAACGGAATGTTAAAAAGATATCCACTGCAATAATACTGGCACTACCGGAACAAGAACAACCCAATCGCAGGCTCGTAAGCCCAGGCACAGGCAACATAATTAACACCAAAACACGCTGACCAATACTCGTCATAACAATTGTTTTTATGTAACTTGGTCAAACAAGCGAAAAACATTTCCATTCTTCACACAAACTGCACGATCTTTGATTCATTTACTATGCACAACGAGCACGGTTCATGCACCGATCTAGCTTATCTGAAATTTGCACGATTACTGGGGAGAAATTATTTGCTCTCAGTACTTTACATAACGATTCTCATAATTGTGCCATTAAAGGTTCGATAACAGTTTGATGGCCACTTTGCCAACTTTCTCGTGACATTACAGCACATATCGGGACAGACACATAACTAAGGTACAAGAACAGCATTCGCAAAACTGAATGAGAACACTGCTCTCTTGTATATCTCTCTCATCGAAATACATAATATCTGCTCAAAATGAATAAAAAGTGACTAAAAATGGATCATTTCTTTGTTGAAAAAAAACCATTTAGCCTTTCTAAGCAATTTAAATATTTTTATCTCGTACTTTTGTGTAGAACAGAGAGACAATCCTTCCTTTCTGAAGCATACTAAACCAATTTTTGTATAAAAATATGTGCAAGTGCGATTTTTAGCTGCTGTTGGCTGTTTGTTTCTTGCCCAAAGGCGCTAAACATGCATATACAACAACCAAAACAATAATTTAGAAAAAAGAAAGAGTTTTTACGGATTTACAATGAGTTTTTCTGTTCTATAAACAGAAATAGCGTAGCTAACGTAATTTCTTGCCAAAATAAACTATGTATCACATGGCCACCTGTTCACCGTACTTAAAGGGCAAATACAAAAAAATTTGTGAGTAAATGACAATTTTCTGCAAAACTAGCACCTCAAAACATACGCTCATCGTTAGCAAGGTTAACAGTCGAGTAAAATGATTATTCGCTTTAAGCTCCTTTATCTGCGCAAGTACTAGGAATTAGAGTCGTATTAAGTCTGCACTGCTCTGCTCGTGAGTGAGTGTGAAAAACTAAAAATATTTACTTCAAAGAACCGCCACACAAGCAAACGACCCGGTGGATGACTAAAACAAAATTTTATGGAACAAACGATTCCTTGCATGGAGGTATTGTGCCAAAAGTAGGAAAGCGGCATAATCACATAACATCCCTATCACGAATTGATTGACATACTATCCGGTTCGCAGCCTAAGTTAATTTCCTGTGATCGAAGGTTTTCCATCAAAGTCGTAGCAGAAAACGGAAAATATGTTTAAAACAAGGAAGATTCGAATAGAATTAAGCCTATACACTCGCAATTTAGAAATCTGCCTGAACAAGTCATAATAAGAAATCCATTCGAGGGCCCAGACTCTGCCAGCCGAGCCAAGCAAACCAACCGATTGTTGTAGCGTATGCTCTGGTATGTAACGACGCTATACAAAAGTTGTGTTGCTCGATCATTGTGCATTAAAAGGGTTTATGTGCCTGAAATTAAACCGTTTTGTCTTCTTTAATCTTAGAGTCGCCGTATGCGTAGACTGCAATTTGCGAGGTAAACGAATGAGTACATGCTAAAAATGCTTTTTTCATACTAAATTGAGTAAAACACATGGAAGCTTCCTATCAGTGATAAGGTACTCGTTTCGCTGTCAGCCGTGATGTTTTGTTCCTCGTGGTCACTGATAGCTACAAGCAGAGTATTTAAGCCGTCAAATCGCCAACACTTTCACTTTCCATATCAAAATTACGTTACCACTTTGAATCCAATCCATGCATTGTCCAATTAAATGTGCCAGATTTACTTCCAAAAATAAACGTAACGCCATCTCATTAAATTTAAACAAAAAAAAATTACTAAGACTCAACATTGAATATTTTTGTAAAAGACGTTGGCCATAAATGTCCATCAACACTGTGATCAGTGATATGAGCTGTCCAATTGTAATTGTCAAATGAGCCATAAAAAGCAAATTGTCGCAAAAAAGGCGGATTTCATTTCCATTTGGTTCGTTTTCCGAGGATATTATAACGATAAACAGGTGCGAAATACCGAATTTAATGATTAAAAACGTATTTACGACGTTTTCACGCTCCAACATTCGCTAAAAGCATCTTTTTGCAATACAAAAACAGTCGCACAAAGAGCAAATGCTATATCATGTGGTGCTATGGCGTGTCAACCCGTGTTTCCGGAAGATATACGGCAACCACGCGATCGATTGTATCGTATTACGCACTTTTATCAATCAGTAAAAAATTTCCTTTATCGGTTTTAAATAAAAAATGAAAGCCGGAATAAAGGTATAAAAAAGAAGAAGATAACAAAATTATGGTCTCAGTATTTTTGTTGGCTGTTCTTTCGATCTGTATGGTCTTAGGCTGTGAAGATCGTGCTGTGAGTTTTCCTGATAATGGTGATACATATAGTTGTAAGAGCGAGAATGGTTATACGAAATACTATGTGAATGATGGGCTAATCGCAAAGATACCTCAAGTTTATGACGATACAAGCATACTTTATTTTGATGTGCACAAAATGTGCACCAAGAAACCAAGTCCGCATTATGCTGTGCTTATGAAGGAGAAACTGGTGAATATGAGTATAATGAACGATCCATATATTAAAAGCCGCAGCAGGTCGTATCTTTCAGCTGACATGTTCTCGTACGCGAAAAAACAAGGATTGTTGCCGCCTCCGATGCCGGATGGCAGTCAGAAAACCGATTTTGAAATAACGGTGGAGGAGTTGAAGACTGGGTTCTGGAAGTTTCTGCGCGACGAAGAAGCGTGCCGTCCTCGGCCTATCGTGCTTACAAGTGCTCCGGGTCAAAATTCGAATAGTTCGTGCGTGATATCATAATGATGGTGCAAAGTTCTTAGTAGTAAAGTAAGTTAAGTTTACAGTTTTTTACCTCTTGCGTATGCGGTGTCCGCGTTAAGCTGCTGTTTGTTGAGCGCGCGTTATTTCATCCAATAATATTTTTTTGGTTTTCCTGGTGCTGCTCGGTTCGGTGTGCATGTGAGTTCGTGCTATTGCAGCTCGTGTTCCTCATGGGTTTCCGCTACGGTAGTGTTCGGATGTGTGATCACTTTCTAGTATGCCGCCTGTTGATCTGCGCTATCCGCTCCATCAGACGGGCCGGGTACTTCCGTTATGTAAGGAGGTAAGTGAACAGCTTCTAACGAAGAGCAAATAAGTAGCGCTCTGGTGTTATCACAAAAAAGTTTTCAAAACGCCTTTACAAATGCACCGCCTGCTTGCAGTACGAGAATGCAGGTACTAAACAGCACTCTCCTATAAAATATTGTAAGCCTAATCCCCATTCCAAATCCTTCAAGTAAACACTAATTTAAATCAAATTTATTTAACACGCATTTGTACCAGAAGGCCATCGTAGACCAGAAAAGCGCATTTTTTGGACGTCATTAATACGCGAGGGGTAAGCAAATCCACTTTTTATAAAAAGGACTGGCCAGACACTTACCATCCCTTGTTTCACACCAATCATACGCTTGCACGATCTATCGATCCGCTCCTCGTGTTCAATTACAGTTTCAGGGCATCGTTTGAATAACATTCCGTACGGGGAAAATCATTCAACTGTGCCATTTGTGCCATTTTGCTTTTATAATATCAATTCATGACTGTGCTGTGATTTATTCACGGACTAGCGATGAAGCATACCGCGAACATCTTCAAATTTGTATGTGCTGAACAAAAATTGTCATCAGAAAATATCTGTTCAAGTTGCAGTACGACACAATAAACCACAAGCAAAATACACGGAATCGATTTATTTTCGCTCCAGAAAGGTTCAAATCAACAGTGCATGGAAATATTTGTTATGGACCAGCGAAATAAAAAGGAAAATTGCCGATTTGTTCATAATGTACTAGAATTAATGGAAATATGTCCAAAAAAGAACAATTCAATAGCGTTTAGGCACAAATATCTGTGATAACTTCTGTCATGTCCTGTTTGTGTGTTTGAAGCGGATGCAAGATAGTTAAAGAACAGTTTCTTGTAATGTACGATTCATAAACAGTTTTAGCGGTAAATAGATACTTGGTAATATTGACATCCGCACCGAGAAGTGCAAGATTCCTCTTTCGTTCGCTTTTATACCGAATATGTTTCTGAGAAAGTTTAACCGGCAACTCCACGTTAATTTCAACAGTTGTCACAGTGCAAAACCAAGGTTTTGACCGAGTGCATCCCTTGCGTAGCAGTAAATCAGATTAAGCTAAATTTGCTCTACCGGACGTAGCAGCGGTAAGACCGATGTAGAACAAAGGCCTGCTACTCGTGATTTATCAAAAACGCAATAAACAAAGCTTACTTTGGCAGCATGGTTGTGTTGCAGTATCGATTTGTTACACATGATCGGTGCGATCTAAGGAACGTACGAGAAATGACCGTATTGAGTACCGGTTAAATGAAAAATTGTGATACGGTGCCTGAAACAAAGCGATGTAAAGAAATGGTACCGAAAATTAGAACGAAACTACGAAATATCAAAACGATAAAACAACCATTCGAAATGAAAGTGGAGTAATCTAAATATGTGTGTTTTATTACACCTGCTTTACTACGCGATGACCTCTACTGTGTGATATTCAGCTGCACAGCCTTTCAAACAATTCCACAATCGTAATTAGCGCGCTGGTTTCCACCTTGCTGTGCAATTCCTAGGGCGCTGTTTTGGCGTGACCTTGTATCTGTACCACCAAATCCATGGTTATGGGTTACCGTTCATCTATGTGCGTTCAGGGATGTTTACGTGCGTACTATTACCAACTTCGCTTAAATACATTCGGACCTTGGTATCTTCATTATCAATCGTTTCTATCAGGCTATCAATCTGTTGGCCGCTCAGTTTCTTTGAGAGTGCATCCACAGTGAACGAAAAGCACTCGGATGCCAGCCCCTTCTCGAAATAAAATGAATAGGATCGATCCAGGACAAAACGCTCGCCAATAAAATTGTACTTGATGATATCGATGTAATATCCGGAGAGCACGCAGAACAGAAAGGCTTCATCTGCCTGCCCAAATGTTGACTGGTGCAGTACAATGTCCACAAAATTTATTGCTGACGTAAGTAACGTATACCGATTCTTCTTCGACTGTTTGAATGATTTGGTAAATCCGCTCATGCCAAATATGTTGTGCTTTCGCACGTTGCTGACAGGAATGTACCGCAGTCTGCTCCTTTCCTTGTAGTACAGCATCATGACCTCAAAATAATTCTTCCTGTAGTACAGCCGGTCCTTCACCTCTGATCCTAGGACCGTGTCTTTTTCGAGCACCAGGTGCACATCGTTGAGCAAAGGAAACACAGACAGACAGTTTTCACCGTTTATCACGCAGCTGTTCATCAGCACAAATGAGCTGAGCGCGTTATCTGATATGAATTCCTTCTTGATCTGCCTAATACCCTCCGACTTCATCTTCTCGGTAAAGTTTTTGTTCCGCCTGCCGAACACCCACCAGTTGAAGATGAAGAGCACCAGGAAGATGAAGCCTATGCCCCCTGCCACGATAAAGAAAATAATTCTGGGAGCACCGAATCCGCTGCTACTTTTCTGGGAGCGTGACGATGGCGTGTAAGAACTGGTATATGTTTGTGGGACATGATATGATCGATACGGATACGTTCCGTTGTAATTTGTGTTGTAGTACCTGCCGTAGCCATTGTTATAATTGTTGTAGTACCTGCCATAACCACTCTCATAGTTTCTGTTCCACCTGTTCATTACAAAAGCAAATTTTCCTTTTAATTTACGGATGGTTTAAATCCGATTTTTTTTTATAGACGGGTGTTCCGAAATAGAAATTTTCTGGAACAGAGCGCTCCTCACATGAGCGCAATTGCTTGTTGGAGAGACATCAACACGATCATCTTGCTGTGTATTGTGTAACGCTGTGAACCGGCCGATCTGCGGTAATTTTGGTTATACCCCGATTAAGGCGCATTGTGCTGTGACCAATAACAAAAATATGTGCCTATCGGGACTGGTGCATCTATAAAAAGAGAAAAAGGAGATGTCAACCACTAGCGTAGGTGGTCGTACGAATGGTGCTGTGCAATTAAGGATTAGAAATGCCCATTCGTTGCAAATAATTCCTTTTGTTCTCACCTGATGGCTGCAACTATCTCTCTTTTGCATGGTCCCCGTTGATACGGTGCTTTCTGCTGATCCCTCATATCGCTGATATCAATTCAATAATTCAAATAAACCGATCATAACCGCGCAGGTATAACGATATGCTGCCAATACAGGTGTATGTTTGGCAGAAGCTACAATGCGTAAGTAATTCAAATTTGCACACTTCAAATCTTTTCCAAAATTTTTGTTACATTTTTCGTAAAATTCGTTTACTCACAACCATTTTTTACTCCGCAAACCTTCATTCACTAAATTGGTATCGATTGTACGTGTTTACTTCAAATTATGGGTATTAAACTAAAAATGCATTAAAATTGATGGTGTAACAGTTGCGGCTGTTACAACGAAAATAAGCTTCCTGGCGTGGTATCAGCACAACGAAAGAATGAACACTTGAATAGAAGTAAGAGCAACTACCGAGATTGTTGATACAATCGTGCATAAACAACGATTATATAAAGAAACTGCAATTCATAAATGCATAAACAGAACAATCACGCATTTAAACAGCTTTACTTCAACAGTTTCCTCAGGTCACTCGCAGGGTCGTCGGCCTTCTTCATAACCTTGGCCACCGCCAGCTCAAAGTCCTCCTGTGTCACGTGCACACGCATTTCCCTGAGCGCAAACATCCCTGCCTCGGTGCAAACGCCCTTTACTTCCGCTCCGCTCGCATTCACGAGCTTGTGCGTAATCTCACTCAGCCTTATCCCCCTCACAAGGTTCATTTTCCTTGAGTGTATTTTGAGAATCTCCAGCCGTGCCTCTTCGTTAGGATTGGGGAACTCGATCTTGCGGTCTATACGGCCCGTGCGCAGTAGTGCAGGATCAAGGATGTCTATTCTGTTGGTTGCCATGATGACCTTAATATCGCTCCTGTTCTCAAAGCCGTCCAGCTGATTGAGCAGCTCAAGCATCGTTCTCTGCACTTCGCTGTCACCCTTTCCGCCCTCCGACCGTGTAGAACCGATCGAATCGATCTCGTCCATGAAAATAATTGAGGGCGCATGCTCGCGTGCCATCACGAACAGCTCACGGACCAGCCTGCTGCCCTCACCAATGTACTTCTGCACGAGCTCCGTTCCCGACACTCTGATAAACTTGCAATCCGTGTGGTGCGCCACTGCCCGTGCCAACAGTGTCTTTCCCGTGCCCGGCGGACCGTACAGCAGCACGCCCTTCGGCTGCGTAATGCCCAGATTTTCAAACAGCTCCGGATTCTTGATCGGCAGTTCTATAACCTCTCTTATCTCCTTTATCTGCTGCTTGAGACCGCCTATCATGTCATATGTCGCATCAGGCACCTTCTCAACCATCATCAACGAAACAATCGGATCAACAATCGTAGGCAGTGTGCGAATCAGTTTGTAATTGTCCGATCGGAGCGCAACCCTCGTGTTCAGCTTCAACTCCTCCATGTTGATCTTCTCGTCCACGTCCACCATGTACTTACCATCCGGCTGTGTCTTTACCAACACCTTGTTCTTGCCCATCTTTTTGATCACCGTACCCACATTTGCCGACGGTTCCTGCACTATTCTTATCTCCTCTTTAAGCATTCGTACCTGGTTGTTAAGATCATACTGCTTTTTATTCAATTTCTTCAGTTCCATTCTTTTGTTTTCAATCTCATTGTGCAGTCTTTGCGTCTCATTCATGAAGTATGCGGTCGTGAACGACATAGGGGGTGTAAACAAACACCCATAAAATTAAAAATTTGTTTACACTGCAAAAATGGTGAATAACACATGGTATGGTTCCTTTGGTATGGCTGATGAACGGAGAGCTTCTGTTTGCTGTTCGTACGATTCCCGGATTCGAATCTCTCCGGGTAGACGCGTTTGTGGGAATGCTCAAGGCACAGGTCGCTACACGAAAAAGGTATGCTAGCAGGGGTATAGAAGTATCAACACGTGTATTGCGGGTGAACTGTGGTGGTATACATGGATAGGATGCCCTCGCCGTTGCAAGATGGTATATGACATGACTCTCAAGAGACTTAAGTATTTGTGCAGGGCTGAAATGGAAAGCAAAAGATCGACAGGCACTAATTTGTTCTAATGGATGCTGAAAACAACGTGGCTCAGAGGGGTTAAGTCTGAATCTGCTAGGTACGAGCCCTGAACAAGAACCGGCAGTAACTATCAATGAGCCCTCGGCAGGGCCCATGAGCCGTTCTATAGTCTCAGCACAAAGGGTATAAAATAGGCCAATTCAATGAATGCGGCTGGTTCAGGTCCAGAAAGCATATTTGGTAGAGAAGGTGCGTGAAACGGTGTTAAAAACAAAATATGCGTTTAGCATGGCATCTATCGGCAGATTCATAGCTTTTTATAAATCATTGATAAATAATTTTATCGATAGGATGCTGTTTAACAAAACTTGTTGTGAGTAGTGGTGGAAATGAAAAGCTCCACGTATCTAATTGCATGCTTGGAGCAAACATAACTAAGTTTTCTACCTATACATGGTTTATGATATATTATTGAAAAGCATCGCTTGGCCCAATTACCTTACATTGAATGACCAGATGGTGTATTTACATGTTTCTGTTGTTGACAGCCATACAAATATTCGATTAGTGCTCCTATCTTTACGTGTTTTTATCAAATATCAGTTTAATTTGCTTGATCGCTCATTAATCCATTATTGCACTCTCTCACAGCTTTTAATGTATAGCTAGCACTGCAGCGAAGCTGCTCAAACCCAAAACAGAATCGAAGTATTCGCCACCGGTACCGTACAAAGACGAACAAAAATTGTTTTGTGCCCAACACACGTGATAAAATGATGGAACAACTACCAAGTACTTCTAACGGGCATCAAAATTTGTTTCTTTAACGTCAAAAACGTAGGTAATCGTAATAATTGGTGTATTTCTTCTGATTCTTCTTTAATAAAATGTAAATTGCTTTGGCCATCCGTAACTGTGTGGTGCCTGAAGGGCCTCAAAACAAGGATCTTTGTTTCGTTCTTCTTATCTTTATGAAAAAGATTTAATTAAAAAATATTTCATACATCCGCTTCTAAGGCTCGTTTGTAATAAATGATTGATTTTACGCCTCAAATTACCGTGAACAGAATTATTTTTGTTTTTAACCGACAATTACCGCAGTTTAAATGATCCGTTTTTTCTTGAGAGTTCCCTTGTCTTTGATCACATCTTCTGGCCATGTGTCGTGAATCAACCACTTGTTAATAAAAGAACTGAAAAAAATATGCTACGGACAAATTTAGGAATATCACACGATAAACAATTAGAATGTTAGAACGAGATGTAAATGATAAATTAAGAACGTATTGCTGCTCATTACAATGCTCGTGCGAGGTAACTGTTGTTGGGATAGTTGTGCTGACCATTCCGTAATTTATATTTTATCGAGTGAAATACGGTGCTAGACGAAGTGCTGACTGCCACGTGGTAATAAGGTAATGAGGTTTTTGTCCGTAATAGGAGAAGGCAATATACACAGTGATAAACGCTTGCTCATGGTGCCTTGTGCTTCAACGGCGTTACAAGAGATGATGTGAATAACAGTACGGCTAACAATTAAATCGAATTCAACAATCAACGCTTCGTCTCTACAGGTGTTTTACGGTGGATTTGGTGATTTTCAACTTCATGAGCACCCGCTAATACGTTTTATCTTACCATCGAATTAATCATTCCATCTATCACTGATTATTTAATCATTTCTTTATTGCAAGCGAAAAGAACTATGTGTGCATTGGGCAGCACAAAATTACTGCGTGGTTGAGAACATCTCCCTGCACATGTACGAGAAGACGACCTTTTCGTGCAACGAAATCGTATCCACAGCAACGATTATATTAAACAGATAGATAATTGATTAATAATAAATAATGCTGACAGATAAATTCACACGAGGTTAATTTATCAGTTTAAAAGTATAAAACAACGGGAAACTGCTGTTCTATGCTTCTTTACCTTTTTACAAGCTTAGTTCTGAGTGTACCTTGTGACAGCATGGGCCGAGATGGATCGTTCGGTGGGCGCAAAAGCTCTCGCGCATGTCCACTCACCGTACTACTCTCTGAGTGCGGCTTAAGTGTAGACAAGGAGTGCTTCTCTACCGACAGCTACGGTTGCGGATCATCTCCCTGCTCAAGGCGACCAAAGAGACATCCATGTTACACCCTCTTCGACGTGTTTGAGGTGAAACCTGAGATTGTGTGCTTTGACTTCATGTGTGGTAAACTTAAGACGTGCACATTCGCAGCATCGTACCTGTTGGACGTGCAGGAGGCCCTAAGGTGCAACGTAATTGATGGAAATGCCTTGAACTTTATCATGCGCAGATTCCTGTGGTACGTGCGCGATCATCCGAAGCTGCCAAGGCAGGCTTTGGAAGTCCCGTGGCACTGCACCAAATGGGTGTTAGATCCATGCAAAGTGTTCCACTGCCTTGAAAGCGTCGTGCTGAGAAACCTGATCCTGCGAAAGCTGTTCATCAAGTTCTTGACCACCTTGAGCAACGAACTCATCGCCATTCTTAGACACGAAATGAAGATGTGCAAACCTAGAAGGAAGGCAGGAACCATCATTTGCTTACCACTTGAGGTTGTATATTTGCAAACCATCTTTGAGGTTGTTAAGCATTTGTTGGCGTGTGCTACAATGGTGCAAAAAGGATACGTTGAGGATATGAAGAAGTTTGAGGTTGCTGATATTTTGGTCCTGAATGGCACTGATCCTGCAAATCCTGGCAAAAACAAAAATTATGTTGTCCGTTTACGCCGTCCGTTGGATGAAAATGGAAATGGCAATGGCGATGGAAACGGTGGAAATGGCAATGGCAATGGAAACGGTGGAAATGGAAATGGCAACGGAAACGGTGGAAATGGAAACGGAAATGGCAATGGCAA